AGTTTACTTAATGGTCCAAGGTCGATTTACTTAGTAGTTATTGCTCTATGTTTGATATAAAATTTTTCTTCTTTTGTTCAATTTTGATAAAGTGATCTACAGAAAAGAGTTTGTACAAATAAAAATTACTAGCAACAATTTTTATAAGAAATGGAAGATAAATTAGCTTAATATTCAAGCAAACAGTGTATTGTAAAGATTTGCAAAGGTGTTTTAATAACAATTTGAAAAAATAAGTAAGCATGTCTTAAACAAACAGAAGCTAATAGAACTTTAGCTTCATACTATAGAAATTATAAGAATGGGTATATGTGTTCTAATTGTTATAATGCAATTGTGATAAATGGAACAAGTACCTTTAAGGAACATACCATAAAATGGAAAAGAGAATTAAAAAGACAAAAAAAAGATACTCTTTCTATGTTCAAAAGTATTTTATTATTAACTAACATTATCTTTAAAAGTAAAATTTTAGGAAACAATCCATCTTTTGTTTTATTTTTTATGCTTAGATCTGTTGCTAAAGGTTAAAATGATCAATTAAATTTTTTTTTTGATAAAATTGAAGCAATGGTTTGCTTAAAAAGAAAAAATAATGCTAAACAAAAAGCACTTGATCAGTCTTTAACATATCAATATTATTTAATATGTTAAAACCAAAGCATAATTATACTGCTTTGGAATTTAAGAGATAAAATCATGAAAAATAATAACAATCTTACATTGGTAAATAGCATTAACATCCTAACAAAGCTTTTATATGATCAGGAAAAGAATCAAAAAAAACTAGCAATTTATAGTTTTAAACAAATATGCAGAGAAATAATATCTAAGAATTTTAGATTAAGTAGGTTTTTTGATTTGATTTATAATGCATCACTTTCTAAAAATAGAAGTGATAAGGAACTGAATAAGTTAAATAAAAAATTAGAAATAGAGTGTTATATTATATGCAGCAACCAAAATCCCAAACTAACTATATTTAAAAAAAATGTATCTCTTTTTGAGATTTAATATGAGTTTCTGTAGAAGCTATAGATGTTTTATTACATGCTGATATAACAATTTCATGAAGGCATCTAGACATAAAAAAAACAGCTATTACTGATAATTATCTATATAGAGTTGCTCATATCTGAAAATTAGAAACGACAATGCATTTGTTCTTAACATTAATAATTATCATAATATTTATACAAAACAAATTTCAGATATATGTTCAATATCAAGTGTAGTGCATATAACAATCTTGTTGTTAAATGATGTTGATTCAAATGCTATTTTATGATTGCACCAAATGGTATATCAGTTTATAATCCAAATTTAATCAATTCTAATTTTATTTGTAATTTTTTAGATATCTACTATATGAGATGGATGTTTAAAACATTTAAGAACCAGTTTTATTATAAGATATCTTTAGACAAGAAACTTAAAACATGACTCTTCACAAATATAATTCTTGTATATAAGAATAACAGAAAAAGCACAAAATGAAAAACACAATACTCTTGGATTTTTTTGAACTTAGTTTTAAAGAAATGGATTCATATATTAGTGCTTTACAAAAAGTTAATAAAATTCCTTTATTAACTAATTATTTGACTAATTATGTTATTCCAATTGTGGCCAATTGGCCTAAGCAGGTATTTTCATGACAAGCAATTATTCTTTAGCTATTAAATCATAAAAATAATATACCAAACAGTATTTTATCTTTCATTTCAATTATCAGTATCCTTCACATTTAGCTAAATCTACTTGAGTTTATATTAAAGACTTATTAAAACTTTTTTAATATGAAGTACTAATATATCTTTAGTACAAATAAAGTGCTAGCAAGACACCAAGCCTATATTGAATATTTGTACTTTTTGAGCTAATAAGAAGTGCCTGGAAGAAAATTAAGCTGATAGTAAAAGATAAGTTCAGAAAAAATTGTAAGGATATTGAATTTTTATTTCTATTTGAGTTATTAGACAATGCAGTGCCAGTCAGATTAAATATATATTCAACTCTATTTTGGTCTAGAGATTAGGAATTATATATTAAAGTTATATTTTAGGCATGATGCATTTTTTTATAGTTTGAAAGGCATAATTACAATAAAGTGCCTTTAGTTTTTCTTTTTGATATATTTTATTAATGTTAAAACAACCATCCTATACTTAATATATTAGAAAATTATTTAGTTAAGTTCACAGATTATTCTGTTAAGAATATGCACAGCATGATATGATGACAGAGCTCCTCTACTGATATTTATAACAACTTTTCAAGATTGCTAAGGTCATTAGCACCAGAAAAGATATTAGTGCATTTGAAGATGCATTTGTAGTTTAGAAAAAGTTTACATATGCAGATAAAAATAATTTAGCTTTATTAACAAAAAAAGCACAAATGTTTTTTCTGGAAATCTTTGATAATGTTTACCAAAAATTAAGTCAAAGTTCTATTATTGAAGGTCAAAGAAAAAAAATTACTTACAAACTAGCATCATTGAATCTTGTTATAAACAAAAAGCAAATGCCATTAGGGTTTAGCAGTAAGCCTTTGCTATCATATAACAAATGTGATTATTGTTATGAATTGTTACATGATAGGACAGTAAATGCTCTATAGTTATTGCATGCAGTCATAGATATCATAAGAGCTGTTTCACTATATTGAATAGAAAATGTTGTTATTGTGAATGTATTTTCAAATTAGGTATAAAAAATAATATTTCTTCTTTACTTTTATAATTAAGCAAATTAGATAAATTGAAGCCAAATCTTGAAGAGATTGATAAAATTGATGAAGATAGTTTACAAGATCAGAGGATAGAAAATGATAATAATATATTGAAAGTACTTTGAAAAAAAAGCAAGTATTGTCAAGAGTAAAACAAGCCTTTTCTGTAGATCTTAAAAAATTTTTAAATATTAATATTGTAAATATTTAGCATTAATATTTATTTAATATAATTTTATAATTGATTAATTAATTTTATTTAATAAATTTTTTTTTACATAATACTAGACAATATTTGAAATAAAATATTTTATTTTATTTTTAATCAAATTATATCATTTTTTGTAATTAATCAATCATTCATTATTATAAAATTAAATTTTTTTTTTAATTATCGCACACTATCGAATAATCTTGCAAAAAGTTAATATTATTTTTTAAAATATTACAAGAAATCTATTCAATTATATTTTTATGTTCTATAGTTTTAACTTAAGTTCTTTAATATAAACATCAACCCTTTTGTTTCTGCTAGTAATTCCTTTTGAAAATTACATGTTTGACACTATATGTTTAACAATAATTTCTTTTAGGATCCAATTTCTCAAATACTAACATATATACCTTTGTTGCAATATTTTGAGTTTATTTATATACTTTAAGATCACTATTCTTTAGTTATATACTTTGAGATTGTGATTCTTTAATTATATACTTTAAGATTACTATTTTTTTTTTTTTTTTTTTTTTAAAATGCCAAAGTAGAAACTTTATTAAGTAATAGAAGAATTACATTAAAGATTTCTAAA